GAACAAAATAAGCAGTACAACAGTAACAGTGACATCAAATAGCTTTCTAAAAGGCATAATTTTAATATATAAAATACCCTTGATAAGAAAGGCACCAACTTATTTTTGCTAGTATTATCTTCATGCACTTCCTTTAAGTTTGAGTATTTATACTTCAAATAACATGAAAACAATTGCAGGTTTTGGCAATGTCCTCTTCAAAAATATCGCTGCTCAAGGGTGTTTGGAACAACAAAATAAATCTGAAGTTCAAGCACTTCAGCAGCACCATGTCCACCTGTTCCACAGCAGCAGACACAGCCTGAAAGAAATGCTGGCACTCACTGGTGCCCATCAACGAAGAGAGGGGAGCCAGTGGTGAGATGTTCCAAGTTTTCACATCACAGGCTGTTGATGCCACCAGTTTCATTAAAATACGATCTTCCTCCCAGCAACATCAAACAAAATTCCCAACTCAACTGGGTTCCTACTGCGTGGGGTATAATTGAAAAACAGAGAAAGGCAACATGCCTGTTCGGTTCCGTTTCCAACATAAAGACAAGCTGCACATTATGGTCACTTCAAATCACCACTATGATAAACTCACCACTATGATAAATTCTCCTTATTCCTAGTCAGGGCTTCCCACTATCTCCTACTGTTCGTGCACTGAGATGGACCAAGACTATGACTAACTGAAAATTAATAATTTTCTGCCTGAGTTGGTTTTCAGGCAGAGCAGCTCTCAAACCCATCTAATTTGACAAATCCTAGTGCCAACACAGCTGGATGACATCCAGGAACAGCTACACCAATGCTGCTATAAAATTATCACAAGACCATGCCTCACGAAAGCAAATACATCAGTTGGACTGGCTCACTCTGCCAGCACTCTTGGTTTTTTTATCATTCTGAAAAGCCCTTGGAAATGGCAAGGAAAAAACAAAAAAATAGGCAGGATTGATGCCTGACCAGCCAGGAACACCAAGCTGGTTTGAAAGTATGGGCACTGGGTGACCCACCCTCCACCTGCCCCCTCTTCTGCTCCTCTGTCCCTGAACACCGGCCTGACCCCTCTCCAAAATGCAATTTATGGACTACTCCATCTTCAGTTTCCCTCCAGCTCTTTCTGTGCCCTCCATCCCAGAGCTCCCCCGTTCTCCCCTCACTTCAGCTGCCTTCCACACACCCCCAGCTTTCACAGAACCACAGAACGGTTTAGGTTGGAAGAGACCTTACAGATCATCTAGTTCCAAGTCCCTGCTCTGGGCAGGGACACCTCCCACCAGCCCAGGTTACTCCAAGCCCCGTCCAACCTGGCCTTGAACACCTCCAGGGATGGGGCAGCCACAGCTTCTCGGGGCAACCTGGCCCAGGGGCTCACCGCCCTCACAGGGAAGGATTTCTTCCTCAGATCTCATCTAAATCTCCCCTCTTTCAGTGTAAAACTGTTCCCCCTCGTCCCACGGCTCCCCTCCCTGATCCAGAGTCCCTCCCCAGCTCTCCTGGAGCCCCTTTAGACACTGGAAGGGGCTCTGAGCTCTCCCCTTTTTCGCCTTCTCTTCTCCAGGCTGAACCCCC